TAATCACATCACTTCTAGAAACGACTTCCTCAAGAATCGTTTTCCAACTGATCTGTCAGTCACTCGGTGGGATTTTTCTTGCTGTAATTTTTACCGTTGGTCATTATGCAATGGAAATTTTTACAAGCGAGGAAATGAGTGACACTGATTTCGTCCGCCTTCAAGTTCGCTCCACTCGCAATATCACGCCCACTGTCTTTAACAAGTGGTTCAGCGGTGGTCTCGCATATCAGGTGGAGCATCATATATGGCCTACTTTACCTCGTCATAGTTTACCTCTTGCGTCGAAGATTTTGAAGCGCTTTTGTTCCAAGCACAACATTCCTTACACAGTGAAAGGACTGATTGAAGGAAACTTGGCAGTCTTTAAGCTACTTTCACAAATTGGTGAGAGATTTTGATCTTTCACGCTTAGACATTGTGATAATTCCCAACAGCCTGTGTCCAATTTTGTGCTTTAAATTTTAAAGTTTCGTGTTTTCTAATAGACAGGCTTCTATATTCGATTTATATAAATATATAACTTGTTCATTGGACCTGATCCCTTTCAATTTAAAAATTTTGATACGGTATGCTGTACATTAGTGTGATTTTAGTTCTTAAAACTCGGTGGTAAATGAAGCTGTCTCTAAGCTTAATTAAAATTTTTTATCTTCTTTCAAACTTTTGCATGATATGAATTGATATTGGGGCAAATTTATCATTCGGAGCTTTGCTTCTCGGCCAAATATTAATTTTTCGGAAAATCTCTTAGCCGCGGACATTATCAGCCGACATAGAAACTGCCTTAAGAGGTCTATTTACAATATGATTTCCGAAAAAAAAATAAATGTAATAAAAAGTGAAACATTCAATTTTCCGTCTTATTCTTGCTTTCTCACGAATCACCATTTTTTTGGGCAATATCGCTTGAATGGAACTACAGTCGAACCTGTATCTTCCCTTTCACATCCAAGATCTCATTAGTAATTCTTCTTACTGACTGCTGACTGAATTCCTATGATTTCAGTTCTGGGAATTTGTTACTGGATCCACTGATAATCCCCCTAACTGATATTTCTCTTTATTCTTATCACTTATCTGCTTGAAATTTTATGGATATTGTAGGGAGAAATTCTGTCTTGAACACTCACAGGGGTTGAAGGCTTAAGCCATGTAAGCGGCACCGTACGAAGCGGTCGTCCTCTATCAAGCGCTTGGTTGTAAAAGCACCGAAATTTGTTTCACCTTTAGCAAGCGGTCACCTCTACCAGGCGACCGTAATCACATTTGCCGTGAGTCCCAACGTTCTGTTTGTATTGTCTTCCACCTGTAGCGATCGAAACTACTCAAATAAGTTAGGAATGATATTTTAAGTAAAGTTTACTCCTTTAGTTCTCTTGCGAAATCAGTGTTAGTTGTATTTGTTGAGTGAGATTTTAAACATTAAGTGGTCAATTATGGCGATAAAC